TGGGGGTCTTTTTTAGCTTATGTTTTTATGGTTCTATGAATAATTCCTTTGATTTAACTTAAGAAACAATGCACTAAATGAGGCTTGAAAGATATGACTCTTCTTACTCTATGAAGATTTTACTTGCCACCATGTATAACTTGCAGAGACAGGCAGAGATAGTTTTCATCATATTTGCAGACAGGCCTCTTTGTAATTGTTTTGTGCAGATAAGAAGTCTATGGATGTTCTAAAGGAAATTAACCACTTAGATATTCTTTTATGCTATTGAAGGTTTCCCATGCAGTGCAATATTGATTTTCCTGTTTCAGTTATCATTTATCGTTATACAGTTACTGCTTCAGTATCCACCTTCTTATCTCAACTGTATTCTATGCAGTCATCATCTGGGATAAATAGATTTTGTTCTGCATTCCCAGAAACCCTTTCAGAGTTGTCTCATATTGAAAGAGAAACAAGTATAGTTTTAATATACATGTGTTCAGCATTACTCTTTTTAATCATAGATTCTTTAGGATAATAAAAAGTAGTAAAGTGGATACAAACAGCCTAGAGAAAAAACAGAACCCTTCTGAAATCACCAGTTATCCAGACTGAATCAAACTTTGCATAATGTTAAGGCTGGATTTTGGAAAGCAGCACAAAAATAATTTTCCATATTTTCTCAGATACTTTTTATCAATTCATTTTTTTTTTTTTTCCCTCCCATCCCTCCCAAATTTACTATATTCAAATGTGAGACCTGGAACCTTATTTTTATCTTCCAAATATAGTAGGTATTGCCATAGTATAAATGAAATATGTTCCACTTCTTGAGCTCTTCCTTTCATTTCCATACTCCTCTACTTCAGATGTACTTGATCTACTGCCCAGACCAGCTTGAAAACTTGTCTCTTTACTCATTATTATTTTTTTGTGAACTTGCTTTATTTGGAACTAATCTAGAGTTCAGCCAGTCTACCATTTTTTTGCAAACAGTGTTGAAGAAGCAACATTTAATGTGAGTCATTAGCAGAAAATCCTGACAGCTTCCAAAATAAGAGAGTATTTACTTTGTTTAGCAAAATTATTTCAAATGATTATCAACTAAAGCTTTGAAAAGGTATTCTGTTCAGTGTTTGAGGTATTGAAAGCAAACATGGCAAATGCCCATCAACCATAAAGGAAAGGCACTGAGAGCAGAAGTTTGGGAACTGTGGTTTTCAAATTCAGAGGAACCATTTAAATCCTTAACAGCATCTCCTCAGATAAGGAGAAAACAGCATTCCCTGAAGAGTGGTCAGCTGTTTAGGACTCAATAATCAAGCTTATATTTGGCCTGCCTTCTGGAGTTGCTTCTATCACAGATAGTGATGCTGACAAGAAAAATAAAGAGTTTTTATGTCATGGGGTACATGATTGTATTAATTTCTAAAAGACCCCAACACAATTTTGGTTTGAAAAAAGCCTGTTGGACATAGATCTGTCTGGACTATGCACTACTGCATTTGTCAAGCATGAAGAACAATTTAGATTTGCAGGTGGCTTACACTTAATGGTTTCCAGAACCATCACCAGGTTATTCAATTAGTTTCTTTGAATATTCAGGTACATTTGAGTAAAAATAATTGAGGAATTAATCCGAAGGGCCAAGAGAGATGGACAGAGACTTTTTACCTCTCAATGTTTCCCTCTCTTTTTACTCCAGAGTAGCAGGCATGGAGCTGCTTTCCCATTGCAGGAATGGAGCTGATTTCCCATTCCCTAGACAGATGAACTTTAGTTGTACTGTAAGAAGGCCACACAGACAGCACGTGTAGAGCTGGATCTGGTCATTAATTGGACTATGGAGTAGGACAGGAATGAAAACCACAGTAATTGGTCCCAAATCAATTATTTGTTATATCACTTCTGTTGACTGCTTGCTCCACATAGAAGGATATTATCATTAATGGGCAAACCAGCAGCCAAAGTCCTCCCTCTGCTCTTAAATCATACACCAGAGATCCAAGATGCCAAACCACTGGGAGGAGGAACAAGTCAATGCACTCACCCACAACATATTGTGTGAAGAAAAGAGCGAGCTGACCAAGGAACCATGCCATGGTAGGTGGAACAAGACAGGTGAGGAATCCAACTACATAGTGGCTCCCCAGAGAGAGACTCATCATCCTGCCACACCATCTGGGGAGCTCCACTTGTTATGAAGAGTCAGGAAGCCCTTTCAATAGACAGAACCCACACACAGCACATGCACTGCATAGACATGCAATCAGAGTCAGCTCTTATAGAGGTGGCTTCTTGCCCCACCTCCAAGTTAATGTGGAAGGCAGGGGCACCTGGTGGTGATCTCCTAATCAGTTCCCACCCAAGGACAGACACCAGGTGAAAAGCAATCAGGAGGGTCCTTCTTGCCTGGTTGTGGACACCGTCCATATGGCAACCCTCATTCAGGGCTGGGGGTTTAACCCCAGCACTTCAACATCACCGAAAGATCTCCCTTTCTTCTAATGAAAGTCCCCCTCTACCCCCACCCCCCTCTTTATAGTTCCCTGTTTATACAGACATCCCAGAGATCTAGACTGATTCAGCATTTCCAGGGCCACTCTGCTATCCAGCAACATATTAAACCTAATCTATTTACGAAATCTCCAAGTGCCTGTGTTATCAGCCAAGGCAGAGAAGCAACTGCTGTGCCCAAGTCCTTTAAAGGCTCTTCCTTTCAGACAGTTTACTACAGAAGACAAAGGACATATCAAAATTTGAATGAAGTTTAATTCTTGGGGTGGGTTTTACTCTTCAGCCTTCAAAGTTCATGGCACACCACTATTCATGTCTGTATGGCTAGACTTCTTTCCCTAATAAACTAACATGGACTTGCTTACACTGTGTATTGGAAAAAGTCTCTGCTCCCTGGAATCCCACAGCTGTGTTCAAAAATTACCTGTGAAAGTGCTAGTTGCATAAGGGCAAAACTGTAGCAGGAAAAGGCCAATCAATTAAATATACATAGGCGACTGTACATAAGTTCTTAAGCCTGTGCCTTGGTCCTGGTTGGCATTTAGCACCTGGGACAGTCTCAGGTCACAGTCCCTAGCAGAGTTCTGACTCTTGGAAGGACAAAGCTGCAGTCCTTCCCCAAAATTCTTTGCCTCTTCCTCTACTCTGGACTTAGGGACTCATGACAGGAAAAAATCCCTTAGCATCTCAAAGTTGCAGTATTACCTTACTACAAATAGAGTTTGAAACAAAACACAAAACTCTCTCACTATTTTGTCATGAATGAACCCAGAGGAGTCCTGAAAAGAAATCCTCCCTTAACATGAGCTTTAGCATAAATTATTTCAGCATCCTTCTGATTTCTCAGCAGTACCTATTGTGACTATTTAGTACAGAATAAGCGAGACCAAAAAAGACACTTTCTTGTTAGCAAATTCAGCCATCTTAATTTGCCCTCTGAGTAATACTCCTGGCACCTTCTCTGATCCTTACTCTAATTTTCAGAGTAATGTGTAGATCTGGTTTTTGACATTTTTCCTCACTTGACAAGCATTTATTCCGTTTTTTCCTTTTATTTTTGAACATACCACACACATACATCTCCCACTAATATTTAAGGCCCCACATTATCCACTTTTACGCTGCTAGTTTTGTTCTAATTAAATGCTTCCAGCCGCTGTTTTGAGAAATTTGCTTTAATTATATTTACTCTGCCTAAGAGCACCTCAGAATGGGTGCTCCAGCTTCCCAAATCAGGGGAAAGGGCATGTCATGGGCAGTGCCAGGGATGGCATTGCAGGAGGCAATGTAGGACAGAGCTGTCCTTTGCATGTCAAGTGATAGTCCTTGCTTTATGGAGGAGCTAAACTCATACAGATTCCTTCTAAATGGAGCTTTGTGCTTCTATATGATGCAGTAGCACCCTCTGACAAACCCCAGAGGACAGGGATGCAGAGTCCTGTCAGCAGAAAGAAAAAATTGCTTTCACTTCCATTTCTCTGGAGGCTCAGAGCAGGAGGGAGGCAATCAGCATGTCTGAGCATTAAATTACTTGAATTTAAAAACCTGAATAACAACCTAGTTTCACATGATATGACTTGACTGTTTAGTTTCTCAATACAACTGTTTCTCTCCTAAGTCTTATGCTAACTAGATCTTCTGTAATAACTAATGTAAGATATTTTTCTGGGTTTAACTTTCTTTCTCCAGCATTGTACTGTTTGTTCAGATGAAGAAATGACTTTAAAAAAAAAAGCCAAGCAAATCACTTAGGTGACCCATATCTCTTGTGTTTCCAAAATGATGGGTTTTTTTGGTTGTTTTTTTGTTTGTTTGTTTGTTTGTTTGTTTTTGTTTGTTTGTTTGTTTGTTTGTTTGTTTTTTAATAAGCAGACTTAAGATTCCTACTTTTGCAACTTAAAAAAAAAAAGGGATGGGGAATATGATTGGACAAAGTTTTAATTTCATATGTCTTTTTCAAACTATAATAAATGGAATACTGATGATAATGATGAATCAAGGCTATCCAATATCTGACAAATTGTTTTGTGCTTTATCTCCTCACAATAAGATCCAGCATTCTCTTTTTCTTCATTTACACTGCATTACTAGTTTGGAAATATCATGTTCTAACAAAATTTTTGATCTTTTATTTTCATGTCCATTGTTTCAGTTTTATGCTTCTGAGGAAGAAATCCTTCAAGTTGTAATGAACAATCTGCATCTTTTTTCTACTCAATAATTATTGTGTTCCGATGGTCTCAGACAGGCTGCAAGTTACATAATTTTTTAACAGTTATACCAGCCAGCATGATTAATACATCATGCCTTGTTCTCATATGTGTTAAGTTTACTCTAATGCTTCATCACTGAGAAAAAAGATTTATGTTTTATTTTTACCCTCTTTATTCACTTTGAATGAAAATCAGCAGCATATTACTGCCCTTTTTCATATTTAAGAAGTGAACAATGAACAATATTTATCACTCAGTAGAGCCAAAAAAAAATCAATAGATTCTTACCTGTAATTCTGCTTTTCATTTCCTATGTGAAATCTGTCATATTGTGAATATGCCCGGTTTCCTTCCCAGTCCATTAATTCAATTCTTAGAGAATATTGCCTCTGACTTGTTATTGCAAAGATAAATTCATTTCCCAGCCAATGTTCACCTGATGGGCTACCAAAACCCTAGAAAAAAATTGGCAAAATAGCTAGATGTAATTACTGTAATTTGTAGAACTTTTAGACAATAAGAAAATGGTCACTATATTTTACATGTCCGTTCTAATTACTGTTCATAGCTTTCTGTGCTCCAGTTTGATTATCTGTAAAATAAATCTACTAATATATTCCATGTAGGAGTGTCATACAGTTCAACTGATATTTGAAACGGCAGTTGAGGTTATCAGCCAAAAATCACTTTTCAGTTACAAGATATTAGTATGATGCTGTATTTGCACATCCTTCAATGAGAATACTTGACATAGTCATATTCTATAACTGTTGCATATGGTGTTAAACCTAGTTATCATTAAGACAGTTAAGGCAAAACAGAATTCTGCTATGTGTTATAAAAGGATAAAAAGAGTTGAAATTAGCCTCAGTTATACACTGAATTCAAATTAACTGTGAATAATAGCTCATATCTTAATCTCTAAAGAAGAATGGACCATTCCTTTGCTGCTGAGTGTCTGTCACAAATTGAACGAGAGAGGTTTTCAGTATAAAATTCTCTTTTGCATATTAGACCTGCTGGACAGGATAGTGTCTGTGAGTGATCCTCAGCTGTAAAATTTATTTATTTAATTCTTAGTGCACTAAAGCTCATATTGGCAACTACAAAACTATTTTTTTTTCTCACCCTGCTGAGGTGAAATAAAATATCTATATATGTTCTGATGATTTGAAAACTTTAACTTAGAGAGTTAGGAGTATTTCTATAGGCCATCCAAAGCACAGAAGAAGATACTGCATTTTTATTTTCAAAGTATGAAAAATAAACAGTAGTAAAATATTTAAGGTATCTAGCATTTTTCACATTTCACATATTCAAGTTATTTCCAGTTAAGCAGACTATACAATTTTCAAACATGGAAAAATAATAATAAAAGAGAAAATATAACTATTTTTCCAAATGTCTTCCTAGACCTACATTTCTGTGTATCTTCCAGGTTTTAAAGTTGTCTAAATTTTAGTGAATATTTTACTACATTAAATTTAATATTTTATTTTATGTAATTAGTTTACTATATATGAAAAATATTTTTGTTTATAAAAGATTAGTTCATGGCTGAGAACTCATATTTCCATTTTTATTCTCTTTAAAAAATATAACTTATTTCAAACCATAAGCTTTACTTGTGAAGAATTATATCAACATGACTTAAGATAAGATTTCTTAAGATAGTAAAAATGGGAACTGGAACTCTCCTGATTTGCTTACAGTGATGTGCTGGGAGTGTTTTAGAAGTCCTCTGTGAAAATTTCCTAATCAAATTGAATGAAAAATCAGACGGTTTTCTTGCCTGTGATACACATTCACCCTCTATTTCTAAGATGTGACTGTCAGATATAAGAAAGAAATAATAAAGCAATCCTGGCTTTGAAAAAGATTAAACTGTTTCCAATCTCAAATATTTCCCTTTATTATTTATTATAGGAAGTTTGCCTCTGGGCTCCCCATCAAGGAATTTAACAGACAGCATTTGTTCTCAGTTTTAGATCATTAATTAAACCAAGTGATCTGCTATTGATTGAGTCAGTGTAATTTTTCAAGAATGAGTTTACATATGTCCAGAAAGCACATGTTTTTTTAGAGAGAGGTAAAGAGGTATAGAGAGAGGATATAATGAAAAAAAAAAATTAGACTTCCTTGGGACTAGAAGGAAAATGTGTCTGTGAGACACACTGGAAAGAAATTGATCTTCTCTATATGACTATATGACATTTTAGTCACTCCTAATGTGAGATGGAAGCACTGAAAGCACAATCTTCTGTCTCTTTTATTCTTTATTGCATTGGCTCCAGCCCTGACTAATTGAGTTTACTGAGGACGAAATCCTGTCTCCTCAGAGGCCATGTGGCATCTGAACGAAGCTGCAGTGCAGATGATACTTTGATCAGGCAATGTATAGGTGTGCCAACAGCAAACTTTCAAAGAAATGTGATTTTAAAAATTTAGAACCTTAAAAGTTTATGACTAGATAAAAAAACAAAACAAAACAAAACAAAACAAAAACAAAAACCACACCACACACAAAAAAAACCCCAAACAAACAAACCCAACCAAAAGTACTAAACAAACCAAACTAACCCCAAACCAAACAAATATAAAACGGAGGGGCTTTTTTGTTATTCCTGCAGGGAATCACATTACAGAGCACTCTACTCAGGAGTCACATTTATTTATCTAGCCTACCTGAGCAGATATTTGGTGCTCACTGATACTGGAGGCTGAGAAGATGGCTATGCTGAGCTGAGTATCTTGCTTCAAGTAAGCATGTCTGTCTTTTGGCTGAAAGATCATCCAGTGATACCCACAGACAAAGTGTTTAGTCTGCAAGAGTTGAAATTCTGTAGTCTGTGGTGAGCCACAGAGAAGACTGGAACCGAAATATGAGAGGATACTATTAGCTGCCTTTTCCTTTCTTGTGCATTATTTCATTATATCCTCTTTCTCAAGTAGATGATTTCCTATGTAAGTCCCCGTAAATACTGGCTGCAGATAATATTGGTGATATCTTGCTTTGACCCCATCACTTTTCCAGTGTGAGGTTTTGCTTCCCAGGCTTTCCCATGATGATGCTTCTGTATCTCTCATCTACTGCTTTGATCACATTGTCATGCATATTTGGCTTTATACATACTTCCTAAAGTACAAAAACTTGTTATTCACCTGCATAAATCCTGTTTACAGGTGACATACCCTGAAAAACATTTTCACTGTTTTCTATCTGTTCCTTTGATCCTTTCAATCTCCTTGCCTATGGTCATCACACGTGGTCTCTCCTGTTCTAGCAGCTTTGGCAGTGTCATACTCCAGCAGTCAATGTTTCAACTCTGACATCATTTTTCACCACTGGTCATTGCCACTTATCTCAGAGAAAGGGAAAATACATTCTGCAGTGACTACCCAACTGGCAGTTTGTCTCCCTAAAATCCAGAAGGAAGAAATTGGAGTATAGGTGTTTATATACCAGCCGAGGTAAGTTCCTTTGCAGTCTACACGGTTTCTCATTCACAGAAGATATATTATTATCAACTGTCTGTCTTCAAAAGAAGATTTTCAGAAAATAATTTCTCCCTTTTTCCCAACGCTGGCAAGATGAGGGGATGTCCTTTTGAACTGTGGCTCTATTGAATTATATATGTTTTATCTTATTTAGATTACAGGCTATTCAGGATGTAATAAATATGGCTTTTTTAACATTATGTGTTCCCATTGGTGTTCTGTATAAAATCCAGACACCATATATAATTATTCTGAAATAATAATAATTTATCTTCTTTGCAATTACACTTCCTTCTCCCTTTTCACACGTGTTATTACACTAAGATAAAAATCTGTCACTGAGTGGTTTGCTCTCCTGACCAGAGGAAATGAAATTGCAGTAAAAGGGAACTGGAGGGATAGAAAAAGAAATATAAAAGAACTATGAAGAAAGCTAACACATTAGTTACGAAAAATGGAATCCTATTATAAGGATCTACATTACCAAAACTAGGACTATAAATGTCTAGTTTAAGAGTGATTCTTTTTTTTATTATTATTATAAGGGGCAACTTTTTGTCAAACAAACTCCTTGCTCTTACGAAAAGAAAACCAAGGAGGTAAGTGGAATATAAAATGTATTTCTGAAGCAAGGAATGTTTCTAAGAAGAAGTAGTGTACTTTGTTAAACACCCAATGTGGCTGGGAAAGAAATAAACAGGAACTCAAAGGTTTCATAGATCGAAAACAGAGAGGAGCAGTACATTTCTGGTAAGCACAGATCTGGGAACAATTTCTTGAAGTATAATTTTATTATGCCAAACTCAACTGTTTCCAACCTGTATTAGTCTACAGTTTACTGCCTCATTTTAGACTTGAAGATAGACTTGCATGCCTGCTGGTTTTCCCACATACTTCGTCTGACTTAATAACTACACAGCTTTCCTTGTTTATATCTTACTTAGACTGTCGTTGCTACAAGAACACTACTACATTGAAAAGATATTAAAGCTTTTGTGTGCTTAAGAGAATGACATATCATTAGCCAAAAAATAAAAAGAAAAAAAGACCAAAACAAAACTGAAAAACTTTTCATTTCCATGCCCAACTCTGAGGCTGGCAAAGAAAATCATTGTGCTAGATTCTTTTGATTTGTCTGCAAGGTACTTAGCCTCCAAAGTACATTTCAGAATTTTATCTTCAAATACAAAATTTTTCTTTTTAATTCCACCAGAAAACTTTAAGGTAACAAGCTTGTGCAATTGTTATGCTCACCTGGCTTTTATTTTTGTGCAACACTTTTTGAACACTTTTGAGGCTGGGATAAAAATCACACAAACTTGAAGTTCAACAAGGTTTCAGGAGATCTGGTATTGGGGATGAGTTGCTGTTGGGAGAAATGCTGAAGTAGAAGCTCCACAGTTGCCTATTCTACTTGTCTGTCAGCAGGCATAGGCCAGCCAGCCAAGCACAGATGCTGAACATGTATTGCAGCAGAGAACCTTTAGACATCTGGGAGAGATTTGATGGACACAACAGGGGAACTCCAGGTATTGCCACAGACAAACTTAGAAACTAATAGGGATTCAGGAAATTATTAGTAATGAGAATGGGACTTCCAAGCAGGATATAAGATAAAAATCCAGAGAAATCAGACATAATTAATTTTGCTGTCCATGAGACAATTTGGTAGTTGTTCAGTAATGAAATCCAAGTACTTTTGTTAATGAGGCATATATGTTCATACTGCTCCTCAAATCTTTGGGGTACCAAGATTTCAGCGTTGCCTAAGACCATGCTTGCCGATGTTGTGGTGAGCAGAGCCCGCCCTAGGCAGGGATCGGCGTGCGGAAGATCTCGCGATGTAACGGAAAGCTCAGACTGCCCACGAGGGGCCTTGTGGGCGTGGCTTGTCATAGATAAGCAATTGCAGCCACGCAATAAACACCATTTGCAACATCCTTCACATTGAAGCTTA